TAATAATAATATTATTATTAATATAATTTTAATTGTGCAATGCCTCTTTTTATTAAACAATACTTACATTTGTATCGATGCAGCACGGAAGTCATCAGGCCACTTTAATTCACATTATCTATTAAACACTGACAGCCTGATCAACTCTTTCACACACTAAATAATTAAGTCTGACTATTCTCAGGGTAATTTATTAAATCTGACTAAATGAATAAAGACTGATAAACCAGATGGAACAACGCCACAGAAACACCTAATTATATAATTCATATAAATATACATCGAAGCCTCTGCACCATTTTATACAGGCTGTATAAAGTATAAGAATGTTCAATTAAATAATGTTATATCAGCTTCATAAAATACCTCCCCTTCCGCGTTGAGCCGAGAGAAATCTAATTGTTTATGTTATTTACTAAAATATCATCTTAAAAAGCTTTTTCATTTGTATTTGTTTTGAGCTGTGAGTTCTGCTCTGTGGACCGGCGACGTGCAGAGGTCACAATCCGGACCTGCAGCGACAGAGTCTGAGTTCCACACTGCATGTTTAATAGAAATGTAAATAACGCGTAATAATGCAGCACGTTTACAGTTATATAACCAGGAGAGCCACATCAGGTGGAAGAAAACAAACACATTTTACTTTTACGCAGCAAAAATGCCAACCAGAGAATTAATGCTCATATACACATCAAATATTCTGCTAATAAAACGAGATCATTTCACTTCTTCATGTGTCACTTATTGCCAGAGAGAGACGTCAGTGTTTATGGGACGTTGCACAAGCTGGCTGCTGCTGGAACGAATATATAAGTAGCCTGTTACCTGTTATCACATATTTTGCCCCGTTTAATGAATCACTTCACTCTCCAGAGAGTCAACAGCAGGTGAACTTACTCCTTATTTAACTCATATTTATTCAATGCAAGAATTCGTTTTGCGCACAAGCTGAGGCCTACCTGGCGGTTCATGGTGCAGGCTGCCAAGGAAGTGACAAAAATGAGCACTTCACTGACTTTAAAGATAACGTAGACAGAGTGAATCGGTGACAACTTGAAAGACCTCGGTCACTGCGCAAAATGTCACCAAAGGGAGAAAAAAAAAGCGTCCCATTACGCGTTACGCACCGGACTCCCAGCAGACCTGTTTGGATGATGAAGGGTTAAGTTGTAAAAAGATGACACATCCTACAATTTATTGTCCCGGTGCTGCATTCAAGTCATACGGGGAAAATGGGAGACACGACTTTCCCGTTTTATTTTCGATTTCTGCTCAAGTCTGCTGTTCAGACTCTTACGCACCGCACTCTGCTTTATCTGCCTGCATGGATTTTGAACATCACCAGCACAGAATATTCTCCACTTCAGCCAAATCAATCACGAGTCATTAATAAAAATCACCGAGCAATGCTGCTATGAGAAGCCACGCAGAGTTACAGTCTGCTCTCCTGTTTTGGGTGAAGTTGCAGCTTAAATAAATATGTGTGGTTGCAACCTGCATGTCAGTTTAGCCTCCTGTGAAAACTTCGACCAAACTTGTCTTGAACTTTTTCCCACCCGGTTGAAAGCAGCATGACGTCGTTTACAGTGCCCAATCGTGAAACGGCTTTCCTCCTCTCCGGGCCAATAGGAGACGGCGAGGAGTGCCTGTCAGTCACAGGTGAGGGTGGATAGTAAAAAAAAAAACTGGGTGAAAAGGGCCGGAGACTGGAGCGAGCCCGGGCTGATGGCAGAGCTATGCGGAGGAGAAGCATCGCGCCTGCGGATGTAGCAGAAACTTTCCACGGCTTCTCCCGCGGGGATGCGACCAGGAACCAACACTGGAGGGCAAAACAAGTTAAGCGACAGCAGGAGGGAATAGTCTAAAATGTGGATGAACTGACACTTACTCCACTACCCGGGCCGGTTAATTACTCAACTTGAAGAACTTCGCTTTTTTGAAAATGGCCGTTCGTGGCAACTCGCTGATGCCTTTCTCGATCCAAGCCATCCTGAACAAAAAGGACGACAGCCGACACTTGCCAGATTTGGACATGTGCTTCTCCAAGACGGCGTGCTGGAAAATATTTGGGGAGATGAACGGCGGGTCTCGGAGAGACGATGGGGAGGCTTGTGAGCCGACGGACCAGAAAAGCTACGACTCGGACTCGGGACTCAGCGATGACGACAGCAAGACTACGGCCGTGTGTAAGTCGGAGAAGGACGGGGACCCTGCGTCGGACGTGCCGGAGGAGAGTTTGCAGGAGGAGACGGACCACGAGTCTGCAGCTGCGGAAAACGCAAAGAGTGACAGTGAGCCCAATAATGCTACGGGTGAGTAGGACAGAAAGACTAATATTGACTAATATGCAACTGTACACAGAGTAAAAATAAAGTGTGGCTCTCTGATGCACAACGACTGAATGCAAGTTCTGTCTTTAAAACAGATATATCTGACTTTAAGCCGTTTAATGCTGCTGGTACAGTTCTCCAGAAGCATAACGAGTGCTCTGATTGAGTTATTGTAGGATATCAGGCCTGTTTGCAAAACCTCTTTGCATCCTGATAACCTTTACGCACGAATTGTCCTACTTTTACGCACGGTTATAAATGGATGCCCTGCCTCATATAATCAAACTGTGTCACTATAGGACTAACTGATGTGGATTTATTGGAGTACCCAGGACTTTAATTTCGTGTATTCTGCATTTGCACGATTTAATTCTGGAGAAACGTTATAAACTAGCAGAAACACGCGGTTAAGCCTGTTTAAAGGAAATCAACTCCAGCTCGTACTAAATAAACATCTGCACACCAGTTGTGATATTTAGGTCTGAATGAAAACTCAGATCAGATATTTTCCACTTTAATTTTAAAAACTACAACATCCAGTGACCTTTCCTCGTGCATTCGTGGCAGTTCATTTCTGAGCATTTGCTAAAGAACCTGGAAACACTTTTCTGTATAAGTGTGCACACTTGTTTGCATTTTTTGTTTCAGTCACATCCAAAAAAACATTCACTTCAAACCAGCACACGTGATTCCAGCTGTGTTAAAACAGCAAACAAATACAGGAATTAACTTGCATGTTTCATCTCTCCCTTCCTTCCCTCCCTCCCCCCTCCCCCCAGACTCCAGCACCCTGGACGAGAAAGGCCTGGACCAGCCCAAACAGCGGAAAAAGCGCTCCAGGGCCGCCTTCTCTCATGCGCAGGTCTTCGAGCTGGAGCGCCGCTTCAACCACCAGCGGTACCTGTCCGGACCGGAGCGGGCGGACCTGGCGGCCTCTCTGAAGCTCACAGAGACTCAGGTCAAGATCTGGTTCCAGAACCGCCGGTACAAGACGAAACGCCGCCAGATGGCCGCCGACCTGATGGCGTCGACCCCGGCGGCGAAGAAGGTGGCGGTGAAAGTTTTGGTGCGGGACGACCAGAGACAGTACAGCCCGGGAGAGATCCTGCGGCCCCCGCTGCTTTCCCTGCAGCCGTCCTACTATTACCCCTACGCCTACTGCCTCCCTGCATGGACACTCTCGGCGTGTGCGGGGAATCAGTGAGAACTTGATGACTGTATTTATTCTTTTTTTTTTTGTTTGTTTGATTATTTTGCTCCCAGGAAATCAAACTAACTATATATATTTTTTCCTGACAAGAGGATGAGACCTGATGGGACTGTTAGTTTGCTCAGCGTCTCTGATTGAACTGCCTCATCGTGCTGTGCAGGCCAGACCAGGGGTTCCCAAACAGTTTTTTTTTTTCTTTTTTACATCCTCAAATACTTTAAACCGACTCTTTCTTTCATGTAGTAAGAGTCTGTCCTGAGGAACCCTGTTAAAGAAGATATTTCTCACGATTTAGACTATAAAATCACAAGTGTCTGAACTGTAGCTGAGCGGGGAGACTGGACCTCCTTATAAAATGTCAGTATGTTAACCTCTGAGGAGTGACACAGTAATAACATTAAAGTATTCCTCTCTTTACTCGGGAGCCCCTCAAGGACCTCTGAACCCCACTGTGGGTCCCTGCGGCCTAAATAAGACTGAAAATGTCACCTTATGTTGGTTTCTATTTTACATGCGCCTTCCTACCTCTGCAGTGATTGGAAATAGGCATATTCCATTGACGTTTCATATTAACTGTCTCTGTTACAGGTTGTGTTTTTTTTTTTCTTGCTGTGTTTGTAAAGGTAAGATATTTCAGCACTTTTGACCATATACGTTACATTATTTCAATGTAAAAAAAATAATGCATTATAGTGTGGGCATGTACAGTGTCAGGCGGTTTCTTGTGTCATTGGCCTGAAAGTGACGGTGACTAAACCAACTTCTAATTGAAATGTAAATGTGTTATTTTGTGTTAAATGACTGTTTAGATCGAAAATCATTAAAACATATCAGGCATTACCATCACTTGGAGGCAATTTTATTTACAGGTTTTTATTATTATGTAAGTGTAGGCTAGTAGTGGGACAGATATTTTTTTTCTTCTTGAATAACAATAACAGAGCAGTCAGATTTGACTAAGAACGAAAATAATTAACAACACATTTACTATCAGTGACTGATTGGCTGAGAAAAAAAGACAAATTCACTATAACTTAGTGTTTAAAATCACAACAAGCCTTACTTTCTCGTACAAACGGATACAAACTGGATGTTTTGCGCTCTTCTTTTCAGACCGAACGGCGCTCAGCGTTTAAATAAATTAAAGTAGCCTGCACATAATACTTATAAATGCTTTGTCATTTTGTCAATATCAGACTAGTTTAGGACAGATTTGTGTGTTTTGGGAGCACACACACGAATAATAACATAATAAAACAAGAAGGAGCAAACATGCAGTAAATCGAAACCCATTCAGTTTCATTTTTAAGTTATTTTCCCGCGCGTTGTCGCCGGTAAAGCGGGTTTCCACAAACTTCTCCGAGAGGTTCGAGCTGTACGCTCAGACCTTGTAGGTGTCATCTGGGCCACTATGACTTTTTTCCCCAAAACAACTGTCAAACAATGATGAATAGCTCTGTGACTCTCGGACAGGGCAAACTGACAGCTACCTTGAAGGCTGCATGTCAACACAAGGAGAGGAGTATTCCGGGGTTAAGGAGGCCCATGTCACTGCGACTGAACTGAAGTCAAAAAAGGGAAAAAGGGTCTAATTTTGGGTTGTTGGCAGATGGCAATCAATATCTTTTTTACACACAGAAAAAATAATTAAAGCTATTGTCTTTTTAATTTTAGGCCTAATGCTGGAATTGAAGTATTACAGGAGTACTTTAAGCTGTTCTTCTGTCTCCAGTAAGTGCCTGAATGTTAAGTCGGGGTCAGCAGGGAGCTGCTGTACATCCGCCACCCATCTTTGGCCTTATACAATACCTACAACCCTTGCAGACTTGTACAGTCTGGCGAAGCAGCGTATCAGGAATAAAAATGTATTATGTGTAGTTGGCACTGACAGATCAGACAAAGAAGACAGATGTGCAAGAAAATCACAACTGCCACAGCCCAGATGTCACTTCTATAAGCTGATATGTGGACGACGAAACCACCGAAGTGTCATTTATGTGGACACAGCATCAAACATCAGTATTTTCGCACTTTTACGCACGTATTACGCGCCAACACTGGGATATGCGCAGGGTTTTGGTTAATCAGTGCCCCATCTTCTTTAACCCTATATGGTAAAAAACAGTGTTCCTCTCCACGAACGGCGCCTATATCTCCTAAAATCTGATCTCCTTGATGCAGGTATACACGCCACCCGAGGCCATCTCCGGCGGCACTGATGCTCCTCATTGGCTGCTCTGAGGCTTAACGGACAGAGAGGGATACTGAGGAGTGGACCGTCCCACATAACTTCCTTTCATACCTGCATGTGGAGATATCTGATACAGAGGGACATATCGCGGCTCTTTCTCCTTTCAACCTGCGATTGTTCAAATGCAAACACCCCCATCGGTGTGCATGAACCCCGTTCCAGCGTCTTATTGGATTTTTTCATTATTTTCCGTTTAGTGCGTGGGAAATTATTCTCATTGTATTTATTAATTAGGTTGTGACTGTAGACACAGATTTTACCTGCAAAATCAAATCAAATTTAAAGGGGAGACTCCTCCACAATATGTAGTTTATTTAAACACTATCACATCTACTAAATCCATTCCGCACATTAAGGACGTTTACGCACTAACCCGTTGTTGTCCATATTATTCAACAACAAGTAACAATTTCTAGATGATTTTTCAGGCACAGTCTTTTCTACAAAGTGCCGAGTTTGGGAATTTTGCTATTTTTAAAAAAAGAAGAAACTTTGGACTCCAGTTGCTGGAATTTTTGTTCATCCCAACAACCCATCTTCGTTTGATTTCTGTGTTATGTTGATTTCTCTCGTAATTTCTGTTGAAATCAGACACAACGACCTCTTCTTTTCTGGCCTAAACTGATCTGTGCTCATGTGAGTGAAGGACAGTTCAGCCGTTTGCTTTTGTACTGAGCAGTAATTACTTTGATTCGCAGAGACTCTCCACGGTTGTTACTGATGATACAAAATTACAGACAGTTTTGACATGTTATACAGAGTCGAGGTATGCTCTACTTAATGAACTGAAGGCTGTTTACAATTATAGATTCAAAAAAAGGGCTGATAATGGACAGCTACTGCTTCCTGTCCTTTTTACAACAGGTTTTTGTGGCGGAGCGACCACAGAAAAAGCAACCTTGGGAAAGTTAATGGAATTGTAAAATGCCCTGATGTCTCCTTTAAATGTCACTGCAGTTAACGGTTTACCACCAAATTACACTGCAAAAAAAAAAAAGCCCATTTAACAAAACAATACATTTAAATATTGTAGAATACAGTTGGTTTTGATTGTCTACCTATGTCTGAATTAACAATGTTAAAAAACTTGATTTATTTTTTTATTGAGGTAATCCGCCCAAATCTTAGATTAGGAACACAACAGAAACAAGTGACACGATCAGCCACAAGGTTTTTTTAGTTTTTTTTTAACAAATGAAATACAGATAATTGTTTTAGTCGTCTAAAAATCTAGTATTTCTCTCTCTGCAATTTCAGATCATGTAACATGTGAGCCTAATACCGTTTCAGCAACCTGGCTGTGTAAGTTATAAAATAGAAATAGACGGACATAAAAAATCTGTATAAATGTGTGCCAACAGGTCGGGTTTCATGTGTTGAAACGATATTATTTCATTTGCACCACATCTACCAAATATCTTTTTACACGTTAAATAGTGCTCTAGTCTGCTACATTTAGGTCTTTAAGGACTACCTGAAAAACCCGTATAGGTCCAAATAAAATCTCAGTTCAGCGACGTTGGGATTTTCTGCGGCATTGTCTCAGACATTGATCATTTTTGCATAAACACAAACATAAAATTGTTTACAAATAACCACAAAATGGGATTTGTATTTTCTCAGTTTGGGAGTATTTTCGCGGATCAGCTGAGGCCAGACTGCAGCTCATCATGAGTGAACGCGTCCTTCCTCCAGCTCTTCATTCATTTCTGTTTAATCCATTCTTTGTTCCTGATGAGATCAAACTGTTTAGACGAGGTCACACCAGAATAAACAAGCGAAATGAAAAGAAGTAAATTGGTAGCTTTGTTTTCAGGCTGCTGTCTCTCCGCGGCCTTGATCATTTCTGCCTACAACTTTTTAAAAAACAATTAGGCTTAATATTCCTTTTGGGAAGCTGTCAATCACACCCTCATAAGCATTTTGTAGTATACAGACCTGACAGTCACTGCCACCTGCTTCAAAGTGGCCCAGGTGCAAATTCCTCTTCATCCCTCATATTTTAGCGACATCCTTCCCCTGCACTGAAAAGCAAGTGTGAAAGACTGGCCTGTAAAACATACTGCTGGCGTTTTCGAGAAATATTCCAACAATAGATGGAAGTTAGTGACAAAAAACACAACCAAACATACTAATGGAGAGAGTCAGTGAGATATTCTTCTTTGTGTCCAGTTCCACAGGTTGGAGATAACAGCTTCTAATGGGAAAATTATTGCACAAAATCCTCTTTGTGTCCTAATCCTCCTCTTTGGCAGATTCATGTTTAGTAAGACTGTAAGTAGGCGAGAGTTCAAGGTCACTGACACAAAGATTTATCCTTGTAATTCCCAATGAATTATTTGATTCTTCACTTTACTGAATAGCTTGGGGTGTATTTTTAAAGGATACTCGGTGGTGCAGTGTGTGTTTAATCTTCTGAACTCCAAGCTGAACAAACATGATAAAAAAAAAAAAAAGAATAAAGTGTCTCATGCAGAAACATTCAACTTCATTCAACCTTGAATCGTGATTCCTTATTTTTCTGCTGTGGGTTTATACATTTTGTTATGTTTATATTGCATTGAATCTTGAACTTATTGGAAATAATTCACAAATACACCAGAGAGAAATGTCACTTAATAATTGTGTTAAAATGTTCTATTTCGTCACTTTATCCAAGCCATTAATAGTCATACTTCATTTGGTAAATACATCAGTGTGTCATCCAGAGCAATCACACAGCACAGCTGGTAAGATATTCCTTCAGACTGTGGCAAACCGGGACTGTTAAACTTTGACTTGAGTAGTGCAGAAAAACAAACAAACAATGAAATAGATCTATGAACAGGATGTTTCAGGACTAATGTTAACATTTGAAAAGTTGATTAACACTGCAGAGTCTGTGACAGTTTAAGTTAAAAAACACTTGAAAGTGTTTATTGACCATCTTCAGACTTTACACAGTTTAACAGCTGAGATCTGTGTTTTCATTCAGGTGAACCTAAATCATCATTATCAGCACTCCAGATGAATTCGATACGGTTTGACATGACATAGTGCCTGTGTGTGTGTGTGTGTAACTGTGTGTGTGTGTGGGATGAAAGGCAGCTCATAGGAAAGCAACTTTTTAAAGCATAACGCAGTTGGGTCTTGGAAGTACATTATAAATCGTATATATTACAGATATCTACTACTACAGTCAAACTGAGTTTCCAGATAATAGAAAAAAGTGTATACTTCCTAATAAGCTATTATACAGTACAATATTAATATATTAATATTATAAATTCGGATTAAATATATCTATTTCTATACATCTATTTGTGGAAGGAATGTAGGCACTGAACATACACATAAGGGAGGCACAGTGTGTAAGAGTGTGTGTGTGTGTGTGTGTGAGAAAGAGAAAGCGAGGGAAGGAAGGATGATTAATAATCACTCATTTAAAAAATTATACTCTATTAAATTTTAAATAAGGCATATGCATTGGAAGTATAAAGATCGTTTACTCAAGTAAAAGAAGCATCGCACACTAGTCTGTAAAAAAATACTCAGTTTCTTTCAGTGTGTCATATATAGGATTGGATTATTGTTACTCATGCATGAACGTGTGAGCATCATTTTAATGTTTGCGGTCCAGGTGGAGCTTTTAATTGCTTGCCATAGCCTACAGTTTGGTACATCATATTTCATAAGATGATCATATGTTTTGTGTGTAACCTCTGCAGAGTAGAGTAAACTAATAACCTGGCTACAGCTGTTAAAACCCTGCAGGTGAACTGCAGTGGAGAGAGGAAAGTAGCAGAACATGTTAATCCTCCAGTGAAATACATAAAACAACGTACCAAAGTGTGGCACTTAAGTAAATACTTATTATATATATATATTATATTTATATTTTCTGTTGTAGTCCTCATGTGCTTACACTCACACTTTGACCCTTGTAGCCATGGCAACGGCAACGCGTCACAGACAGGACGCAACCACACCGCCGGTGACTGGGCTTCCGGTTCTGACCTTTTCCCGTGAAGGCAAAGGGCTTCGTGGCCATACTGAAATTATTTGTAAACTTAAATGCCAAAACGTGGCACCCGGCTGTGTGTTTTTTTGTAGTCCTCACCCCCGTTTTACCCGAACAACCAGTGTTCGCCGAGGCAGCAGTGTGTGTGTGTGAGTGAGTGGATCACACCGAGCACAGCAGCACTGTTAGTACAGGCAAAATGGCGTCCGCTTGCCCACTCCACAGTCGTCTAATCCATCTGTGATTAGCCCGATAACCAGATTCAGCAACCGGTGACAGTTTTCTACTGCTTCGGGTTTCCCCACATATACAGTCGGAGCACATTTGAGCGTCATGTCGGACTCGGAGGAGGACAGCCAGGACAGGCAGCTAAAGATTGTAGTGATTGGAGACGGAGCGTGTGGGAAGGTGAGAGCAGCACAGACACACACATCAACTTATATTCAACGCTACTGGAGGAGAAAGTCATTGAACGCCTCCACCACGCTGACGGTGTGTTGTTGTCTGTTGTCAGCGTTGTGTTGTTTACATTGCCCGTCCTCACGCTGCCCAGTCACCATGGCGACCGACGCTGGTCTGTAGCTACCAACGGCCGTGGCTAACGGTCGTAGCCAGGCAACATGAGGGGATGTGAATGGTCGGTTGGGATTGTGGCCTAAAACACTTCAGCTCCTACTGCAGTGTGATGTGTTTTTGTGTTCACGTTCAGAGGAGACAAATCCACACTAAAGACACATGCAGTGTCTCACATGTTTATATGTCTCCATGAGCGAGTCACTGATACAGTGCGGACAGCTGGAAGAAATATATTGATGCTCAGTGTGGGAGACAATTGTCCAGGTTTATTAATGTTAACATGCAACATTACAAGGAGTTTGACTCTCAGTGTACAAACACAGACTAACGGCGTAAATAAACAGGACAACAAGCTCAGCAAAATAGACCTAATGTAAACAAACAGTAACATTTGTAGACAGTAGACAATAGTGCACAGGATGCTGGAATAACTATTAACGTGCAGGTTTATTTATGTACATGAGGTATACAGTGTATGCAGTATGCGCAGCATGGATTGGTGGGTTTGAATGATTATATTTAGGTTTTAGAAAAGAAACTGAATTCCAGCAATGGAAAAATCAATAATCCATAGTTTACAGGTGCAGTAGATGTAGTCTCAGGGTTATTGTACAGGGATTATTGGTAAATGAACCCTATTAGGACCCCAAGTTGATCACTATAAACAGGTAATTGTATATTGCACTCATTCAGTCTTAGCAAGCTACTTAATGAAAGTTATTCTCTCATTAGCACTGGAAAGCTTATGTGGAATAGTATGATAATAATTATTGTAAAACAAGAGTTACAAAACAGTGTAGAGAAGTGTTTGACGGGTTTCCGTTGATGTTGACCTCATGCGGTTCAATAGGTTGGTTGGTCGTTTCAGCTGTAATGTACAGGAGGACTCACAAAATGAAACTGAGAGGAAAAGGTCCAAGTGGTGGATGGAGGTCGATGAGATAGTTAGAGATGCTGAAAGTGGGCAGCAAACCTCACATTATATCATTTTTATTGCGTGACTGTACCTTTACTGCAGTTAAGTAACTATTATTAACTACTTTATTTAAATGAGATTAAACAATGAAATAAAATGAGTCAAAATAAGTACAGAAATACAGAAAATCTGTGATGGGATGTCTGAGTCTGTGTGAGCTTCTGGTAAGTCTCCCAGAACTGATAAGATGTACATATATTACACAATAAGCTTTTCTGAGGTTCCCCATCCACACTGATCTCGGGTTGAGGATGAGGGTGTTTATCCCAGTCGGAGCTTGAGACGGTTGAATTATTGATAGGGGAGAGTAGGGCCGAACAATCAATCAGAATATTATCAAAATCACAATATGTCCAATATGCTAGTGGCAAGAGCTGTAATGTTTGATAAAGGTCAAATGTGTGACGAAACAGCATTAAACAGGAGTTTGTTTGCTATAGAGCCCCAAAAGGTTTACATTATCAGGATTTTAATAGTTTTTTTAAGTGAAAATTCACTCTGTGGTGCAAAAGTGATTATTCCTAATTCCTTCATAATTGTGAATCACAATCTATATCTGTCAAAATAATCGCAATATGGACCTGAAATAGCAACCAGTAACTGAGTTTTAATCACACATTGAATAATGAATAATGCATAAATACTAGGATTAATACACAAATCATGTGGCACAAGAACTCTCACATCTTTATCTATTTTTTTAAATCGACCTTTATCAATGTATTTCTGTAGTGTGAGAAAGTGTAGGAAAAGTGTCACACCACAAAAAATGTCTCACGGTTGAATTTATCTTGAAAATCCTGCCGCAGCCAGTTTTACAAAGTTTCTGGACGTGCAGTTTTGAGTTTCTGTAGTTTCAAAGATAGCACTGTGGATTTAAATCTGACACACATCTGTTGTTCTAAACCTATTAAGTCTACCCGGCCCTTAATCCACGTTGCGTGTGCCATTGAACGTGGTGCAGTGTTTTGTAGTAACTGAGCTCATAGGCTTAGACTGTGAAGAAATAACATGTTGTTGTTTTGTTATACTTTTATCTACCGTTCTCTGGTATCTCATCAGAGGGCGCTCCTTTAAATGATTGGTGAAAAGTACAGTTACTTACTATCGCCCGGCCAAAATGTACCACAGATGTATGAACTACTTTTAAATTATGAGACACTCACAGGGCCAATTTAGAGAGACAGTGAAGTAACACACATACGTAACGCCTTTAAGGCAAGCGCACAACATCGACTTCAAATTTCACTTTTCAAATAGCTTATTCAAATGAAACGCTTTTTTCAATTGTTTGGAAAAGGAAGTACGGCTGGATGATGAATTTTCACTACATTTGTCATGCACTTTGGGGCTGCAGCTACTGCTCAGTGGTCTTGGGGTAAAACGCTGCACTGTACAGTATAACACAGAGTGTGACAGTTACTTAGCCTGGCTCTTGTAGCTGATGGTTGTTTTCCATCAGTGTACCTCTCTTCTCCTGGCCAAAGACCCCTGTATGCGTTTGGCTCCAGAGTGAGGCCCCATTTAAGAAAGTCATGTCTGGACAGCCCACATGAGAAATGTTTCTGTGCTCTTTTGATAATAAAATAACATAAAACTAACAATGGGGAGAGAGTCATGTGTGGAGACTTGTTTTCTGAATGTCTGAACAGTGAACAAATAGACCTTCTGTCATTGCATTTTCTCTGTCTTTGATAACTCAGCTTTAGGACTGCCGTTAGTCTCTGTTCCCTTTCAAAACCACTGGACTGACTCATTCAGTACGTTATTAAAATCTTCTCAGAGGTGTAGATGAAAAAGACCCAACTTACATCCACAACACTGGAATTGTTTTCCTAGTCACACCAAACAATCATTTGCAGCAAAGCAAGGAGGTTGTCATGACAATTGAGCTATGTTTCTTCTTCAGTGCATCTCCAATCCCCGACTGAATGAGTGTGAGTGTGAGGCAGGGACGTCAAGTGCTTTTCAGCTACACATCCCCTTTCCTAACTAATCTCTCCTTCCTCTGGGAGAAAGAAAATGAATGTAGCAGTAATGGTGAGACCCAACGAGAAAAATGAATGTTCTCATTCTGGAAAGTCGACATTTTCTTTTGGGGGAGTGGGAGTGTGGGGGGGGCAGAGAACACACACAACTCAGTTCCCAGTAGATACGCTACATTAATAACCCTCCTCACACTGCTGCCAGGTGTCAGCTCGTCACTGTCTGAATGACTTACCTGCTTGTCTGTTTTGGGCAGAAAACAGGAGCCCTGCCCCCCATTTTGAGCAGGCAGCACTGACTGACATCTTGAATGCCGTTTCCCCCCTTATTAATGTCAATTTGCTCAGCAAATTGCAATCGGATCAGTTTTTCTTGGACAGCAGTTTCGGTGGTATTTTGGCCTGTGGTTGGTTGTCCATTCAGAAATATAGGGAGATGTGGGAAGGCTTGTCCATCTGAGCAAGATGTTTTTAAAATATGGAGTCTCACATTTAGCCAGGCTCTTAAGGTGCTGGGCCGAACTTACACACAGGTCTGTTTTTCAACCTGAACTATAAGCCACTCAGTTTTTCTAAATATTTGCTGTTCTCTTACCCATAGGCTAAAAAGGAACTTAAAGTACAGGTCTTGCACATGAATGGATATCAGCACCCCAGCAGTGTTATTCACAGTCCGAATACTTCACCAGAATACCGACATTTGTATCTGTCTTAACTGTTTGAGGAGAATAAAGAGCCCGTTTTGTTGCGATGCTGCAGAAATGCACTGCATCTCTCATACGAGTTGCATCACATGGACATAGTCAGCTTGCCATATTTTTTTCCCTCTCTCCCAGTTTCTTGTTTCAGTAGAACTTCCCCTATTTCCCGGCATTGCTATCATTGGTGACCCTGTGCTGTTCTCTGTTGGAGTGTCAGGATTACGCCAGCTTTTACATTCGCTGGTTAGTTCCAATTGTACGTTGGAAAAAAAGGACTACGTTGAGGGAGGAGAGCCAAGCTACTGGAATGCCAAGACAAATGGCCGACTAGGCCAACGCGAGCATGTGGAATAAATTTTTGCTGTCCGAGCTTGTTATTTCTGTGTTGTCAGTGATTGTTTGGGCTACTTAAATGGCCGATTTTCTCCTTGTTGCGTCAGTCACCTCTAGTAATTTTTCAGTCACTCTTGAGCCTGTGACATGCTCTGCAGGCCGAGATGAAAATAAAGTCTGTAGGTTAGTGAACTTCAGGTGAAATTAGGTGGATAAAACTATATTCTGCACCTCCAAGGAAATGTTGATCAAGAAATCCACCAGCAAAAGTCTGGATTACACATTCAGTAGGTTTATTTAAACAATTACATTTACAAAAATCAGAGCTGGAATCAACATAAAGGTTTTACATTAAAGTTGTCATCCACAATGACAAATCAGTACTTTAAGAAAGCCAAATAGAGTCTTGTTTACTTGAAGAAGATTTGGGTAAACCACGATAAGGTTTTTCCTAATAATATTACGTTGTTCCTCTGGAGTCGTTTGATAGACATTCAGTCTTATTTGAAACATTATTTGGCAAAACGTAAACCTTCTGAGCATGAATGGAGGTAGATAAGGGCATAGGCTCAAGTGAAAGCTTAGTGGATTGAAAGAAAGAATTTAGTTTTAAATCCTCTAACCCTCAGCGATTGTCGAGTGCCACATTAAAATGCATTTGCTGCCACATGAACACTCAGGGAATCCCATTGCTTCACGTCTCTGTTGTGTTTATGTAAGCACACTGCTCTAAAGATAGCTAATAGACATTCGGCACTTCTTTTTTTCCCCCATCCTCATCCATCAAAATGAATTAAACTTGGCGTGTCAAGCCTGCGCTGTGGATTCCCATGGATTTCAGGAGAGCCCCTAACATGCTATTTTTTTTCCTCCTCAAACACAACAGTGACAGTGATGGAGGTTTTATAATTTGTGGCAATTATTAGGTCTGCAGTCTGGAGACATGACACATACTCCGACACCTGTTTTTGTAATTCACGTTGATTTTCACTGTCAGGACCGTGGCTGAGTAGTGAGACAGCAGAGGAGGCAGACAATTACATCAGCGTACCCTCCTGTCAATCATTGAAGGTGCTTAAAATGGATCTGTAATGATAAAAGTGTCCCGCAGACTACTACTGTACTATACTTCAAGGCTGCATCGCATTGTGATTCGATGTATTTTTAAGACATTTTAGGAAAAGAAATATTGTTGGTCAGTATGAATGAAGTCAAAGTTTTCTACTTCTCCTCACCACCGAAATATAACTTTTTCAGGAAGTTCTTTAATATACTTTTTATATTTTCTGCGGATGGAGTTTCGCAGCATCTTGCATCGTGCCCTGGGCCATGCTGTGATACTGACTTGTTTTTTATGTTATGCATATATATGTGATTATTGTTAATGAGGCAAATACTATGCACTTAATTGAGCTTTCTCCTTTGTCCTAAAGCATTTTAAAAAAAACACTTAACTGCTTTAATTCCCATATTTGTAGTGCTGTTGATTGCTGCGGAGGTGTTCTGGCACTCATTCTCCGTGTCTCTCCCTTTGTCTCTCCGTTTCAGACATCACTCACCACCAGGTTTGCACAGGAGGCCTTTGGGAAGCAGTACAAACAAACCATCGGCCTGGATTTCTTTCTGAAGAGAATAAGCCTTCCAGGTGAGACACCTTCATAATCTTTTGGGAGGGCTCGCTTGTTCAGAGACTCGGCACAGATACGCGTGTTGCACAAGCACATAGTGGCAGACTGTGGACTGTTCATTTAGTAAGATTGTACTTAGACAGACTGGCTTAACTGTTAGCGGCTGTTTGAAACGCTTTAACATCGACTGTAAGGTTTTGGATGTGTGCTTAAGATTATCAATGTTAAAAAAAAGATCCAGAATATTAATTGAAAGTCTTACAAAGAAGCCTGTTGTTAGCTTTCTGTCATATTTTTATTTCTCGTGTTTTCTTGTCCTACCTTTTTCCAGGCAGAGTTTGTTCTTCAGGTTAACTCGGGAGCTGAATGTGTCTTTTCTGGTAGCTCCTCATTGTAGAGTGTCTGCCACTTCTCAGGCTTATTCACTCTGAAAGCTCTTCTCTGCAGAGCAAACAGCACACTTTTTTTTTTTTGACTCCACAAGGCCAATGGACAGCTTATGTCCAAACGGGCGAGCCTTGCTCATAATTCTGTGGGCACAGTAAAGAGTAAATACATTAACATTTTATATCCATATCGCTGATCCCCGAGTTCAACTGATCTTTGTCCTCCACCACATAAAACATTCATGTTCTTATTTGTTTATGTTGAACCCGCAGAAATAAAGCCACACTCTGTATCCCCCTTAGATCTGTAAAATAAATGTTTATTGACTACTGCTATATTTAGACGAAAGCACTCCATTTTTACTTCCTACCATGTGAAATGGGGATTTTCAGCATTTTAAATGGCATTTCTAAAACTCTGCCAAGGCCTAAGCCCCAGAAATCTGCAAAGTGCCTCCATTCTTTCATTACTAATAAAACAACATTAAGCAAGGGCAAATTAAGTGCTAAAAGTAAAAGTTACGCTGATTTGTGAGTTGGCTGAAGGATCCTATTTTGATTTTGTGTCAGTTTCAGCTTATGAGACTTAGGAGAACTAAACCCCCAAAAATGTTGTGGTGGAGTCAGGATGAAAAGAGCCAACCATAAGCACAGGCTGGGCTCAACTCCTTAATGTGAACTCGAACAAATGCTGTTAATCGTTTGACTTCTCTTTCCAGTAAGTTTCTTTCCTGAAACAATCAGCGATCTCTCGAGTGTTAAACTGTAACCTTTGTTTAAATATAGTGTGCATACGTCTCTATCACTGGGGCAGAAACAACACTGGGTCCAACACCGGAGTTGTTAAATGGCCCATTTTCTGGAGAATTGGGTGTTGATGAGCTGATGAAGAGGAGGGTGGCTCAGCGAGCTGGGTGGTCCCAAACTTCGTTAGGAGGACCCCCACCCTGCCTTGTATTGGAGAGGTTGTGTGGCTCTCCGGGTCTCTATGGGGCTGTAAGGGTCTTTTGCAGCAGGGGGGAGAGTAGCCTATAGCCAGCGTTGGCCCCTCTCACCATGAAGGCCCAGCTTGTCAAACTTAATGTACATTTTCCAACGCAGGGAGAGGTGAGGCGAGGCCGACTGGCACACAACAGCCTCCTCTGTGTGTGCTTTTTATAACAATACCTCTTCCAGATGTCTCTGCCAAACCAATGAGGTACAGGCGGTGAAGGGGATTGACCAGAGGTGAAATTTACTCGATAAATTCTGTCAAATCCTAACTCTTGGAAGCGGCTTCGTCCACATCCACTTCATGTCACACGAAGAGGACATTTATCTTATCAGCGTGACTTTCTTGTGACCTTATTATTGTCATTTGTAAGGTTTGTCTATTGGACTCACATTCGCTGTTTTTACTTCTTGCAAAGCATAAGCAGAAAAATGTCAGCGCTGTCGAGTCAGCGTGAATCTTTGAAACATAAATAAAGCTAGTGTCCAAGCATGGTGGAAGGGCGGGGATGGCTCTTTATAACACCAAGGGGCCGTTCTTCATTGCGCTCCTCAATGTAACTTTACATTGACAATGTATAGTCTGGATGTAGTGACTGTGAACCTCCGCGTTTCCTTCCCTCGTTTTAAAAAGGGGACTTATGAAGGGGTTGAGTCGTCCAGCCGTGTCCACAGTGTACGCTCTACTCCCCATCACCGCTCCAGCCAAGCGCAGGGCCCTCATCACACCAACATAAACTCCTCGCTGTCTGGTCCTCCCTCCTTCTCTCTTTTTTTTTTTTTCAACCACCCCTTTCATTTTCCAGAGGAAGAAAATATTCATTTGGATTTGGTTTTTGTGCCCGTCTTTCTCTCTCTCTCCCTCTCATTCACTCCTTCTTTCTCTTTCCACAGGCATTAGACAGAAGTCTTCTTTTCCTCTTATTTTGTGTTTAATTATTGCTGTTTTCCTTAACAGCACATAAGTCTCCTCACTTTCCTAACTTGGCAGCATATGGCACAATGCAAACAGCTCTTCCCAGGCTAATAAGAAGTCATTTTTTTACTGCCAGGCTATTGAGAATGTTTAAATTAGAGGGTAGGCGTACCTATTCATCCCCCTCAATCTCTGGGATGGATATTCTTGGATGTGAGGTGTGGGTGACCTGCCAGGCAAGAGCGCTTAGCATGAAAGATTAATCGCTGATTTATTGTTTCCATTATGTACATCAACAACGCTGACATTTATTATAGAAATCGCTCACCCAAAATACAGGTTCCAGTTACAGCTGACTCTGTATTTCCTCGAGATTATGGGCTTTGTTAAAACAAACAAGTTAATGATTAAAAAGGATAAAAACATCCGGAGTGGAAACCCACAATTTGTGTTTTTTATTTATTTAATTGATTAGCAGACAAAAGCATTTTTGAGAAAAGAAAGTGGCAATCTAAACTAATCTAAACATCTATGGTACTTTTTATTGAGCTGATTTGTGCACATTTTTTGATATCTGAGGTATTTCTGTCTGTTTTCTCCACTGCAGGCAATCTGAACGTGACCCTGCAGGTGTGGGACATTGGAGGCCAAACGTTAGGAGGAAAAATGCTGGATAAATATGTGTACGGAGCTCATGTAAGGCACACACACAAATTCACATCAAATGCTCTGTTGGTTCTGCCTAACAATTATACGTTCATCTCTGGTTTGTGCTGCAATCTGTCTTTGACTCCCGTAGCCTGAGGATGTGCAACCAGCTGCTGTAGCTGCTTGTGGACGAAGCACAGGAAGAGATAGTTTCCAATTCTCTAATAGCCCTGTATTGGTGACCTTGATCAGGTTGTTTTCTATTATAGCGTCGGCAGCTTCATTCACAGCCTGCCACCCTCTCCTTCTGGAGCGTAATTCATTCAGACTCACAGAGAGTAAAACAGGTCATAAGAGCTTTGAAAATCTCAACTTTTTTACAGAGTTGATACAGTGTAGTGTTTTTATTGGCAGACAGAACACATGTTGATAACACAGTGCACTGTAGGTCAATAATGTAAGCAGTAAAAAAGTTTAACTTTGAAGCATTTTAAACAGAAATGAATCAAAGTAATTCCCAGTATTTGGTAATACTCAGCTCATACATAAAGGAGTGTAGGGAAAAATAGGCTACTAATTGATCAATTAACTATCATTTAATGCTCATACTCAACAATGTGTTGATTAAAATGACAGCCAAACTCTCTGCAAACACCGCGGTTAGTCAGCGCTACTAGTTTATACATGTGCCAGCAACATCAGCGTCCGCAGGTAACCGTGTTGCTATAGTCGAGTGCTATCTGTCACCTCCAGAATGTCTCTTGTTTGAAGAGGCCAACTTAAAGACCACAGTCTGTCGAATCAAGACCCGTACTTCAGCACAACATATAACATTTGGGCACAGAAACCTGTCATCATATACCAACTATATGCAAGCGCACTTTTGTCATGTATGTCTATAGATGCTAGACCAACATTTTTTCGAGCTTCTTTTCCATTGCATGAATCAGCCTGGCTGTAAAAATAGTGAAAGTGATATGTTGTTTTTTTATTTTTTTGCCAATGTCTGTGCCCTGCTGTAAATCCTGCCCTAATGGTGGTTCTGTATATCACCCATGTCTACAGCACTTCCTTTTCTGTTTCTCTCCTTCTCAAGCAAAATGCCACATTACGACACTTTGCTTCGGGAGTTTCACGTCAGCACTGTATGGAACTTTCACACCTATTGTTCAGCACCGTGCGTCCTGTAATCAATCATGGCTGTTCAGGGAGACTCACAGTAATTGTCAGAGGCCTAAGCTGTCGTCACCAGCCTTGCGTGTTGTGACAGTGCGTGTCTTACCGAACAAAAAGCAACAGACACCCCTTCAGTCGTGTTGCATCATGCAGTAAAAGTGGAGACATTTACCTCGGCTCACATTAATTTCCAGCAAAAGTTTAAGCAGTGATAGCAGATAGTTAAGCTGTGAGATAATTTGTCTTGAATTATGCCAGCAGATCTTGTATCTGTGTTTACTCTTTGATTAATTTATGTGTTCCTGTAAACAGCCCCTTCTGGCCTGAGTGTTTGCTCAAACGTGGGTCTGGTATTGTTTCATGAGTGTTTCTGCGGTGCATAGAGTATTGGGGATTACATACGGAGAAGGAAAATGTCTCCAGGCAGACAACCTTCATCAATTAGCTCAGATAGCAGATAACTAAACCTCTATTCTGCACCAAGCTTCCAAAACCGGAAACTGTTAATGTATGTTAATGTTAATGTACAAACCACAATTTAAAACAGATCCACGTGAGTTCACAGGCTTACTTAGATCTTATTAGTACTGAACCAACCTCATATTATGTGTGAGTGAGTGTGTCCCCCTCTGTGTGAATCTGTCCCCCACTCTAGGAAGAGGAGCAGTGCCACCTACTGTTCCCTCGCTCCCTCAATATTACCCATGTTAATATGAATGAATGTGAAATTAAACTGTCCACTCACATCCAGGATTGTGAAGGTGAGCTGTTCAAAGACATCAAAGTCTGAGGGCTGTCTTGTTCCTTTACTTTTTTCCAATGCAGGGGGTTCTCCTGGTTTACGATATCACCAACTACCAGAGCTTCGAGGATCTGGAGGATTGGTTCAGCATGGTGAAGAAGGCCAACGAGGAAGCTGATATCCAGCCTGTTGTCTCTTTGATTGGGAACAAAAGTGAGAATTACACATACATAAACACACAAACACACATAATCCTTTTTTTATTTTGAAAAAACAGTGTAGTATGTCAAGTTTAAAAATGGCTTTATTATAAAGTCTAATACGTAGATGCAACTGAAAATAGGTTATCTTATATTTATTGGAGTGAGTTTTTCTCTATTCATTTTTTGGCATTTTTCATTTTGCGTGTCTGTGTTTGTGTGTGGAGGAGTGAGTGTTTGATGGTAGCAGACGTGTTTGTTAGAGCACCAGATAACTGATCGGTGTGATAAGCCAGTTGATAAGGGGGCGATGGGAATGCTGATGTTTGTGAACTCTGGGGAGTGACTGACGATGATTTAAGATCCCCGGGCCAACGGACCTAGGGCACCGCTTATCTGTGCCCCCCCTCCCAGTCAGTATCCGTCTGCCCCCCCCCCC